CAACTACTTTATTTTGACATTAGAATCTATCAATATGAAGGAACTTACTATGAATTATGTAACGTCAAGATTTACACATGAAGTAACCAAGAAAAAAGAAAATAAACTTCAAAGTGATGATTTGGCTTTATTTTCAAGACAAGAAAAAATAGCTATTTTTATCAAAATATTAATTCAAAAAGAAATATGATAAATTATTATATTTGTACAAAATCAAATCACTTTATAAAGAATTACTACAAGGCCAAAAAAAGAGATAGGAACAATATAAACAATGCTAGAGATAGTTTTAATGGAGATGATTATGCCTTCATGGCAAGTGAAGGAGTCTCTATGGTTGCCATGTCTAAGTAGACTATAGATTTGGATGATATTAAGTACATGATACCATACAAGTGTTTATTTGATACTTATGAAGCAATTCTAGTAACAAAAGTTTGGTTGGGAGACAATGGCATGGTGCAAGCTATTGGAAATGGCTCTATTGTAGTGGAAATTGTTGTGAAGGACTAAACTAGATAATCAGATTGAAAGAAGTTATAGATGTGTCAAAGACGAAGAAGAATTTTTTTTGATAAGTAAACTTGTATTACATGGTTATAAGATTTAATTTGACATAAATAGATGTTTTATGAAGACATTGAGTAGTCAATATGTTTCCAAAGACCTTACACATAGCAACATCTACTTCATAGGTTATAAGAAAATGAATAAAATTGAAATAATAGTATTTTTTGAGTTTTTACAAAATCAAGACAAGTTTGGAATTTGACATCAACGACTTGGTCAATTGAATGCCAAAAGCATGAAGGAACTTCAATCCATGGTAAGTAGCTTGGATCTTGGTCAATTTAGCCACAATGCCATGACACTTGCTTGTGGAGGTTGTATTTAAGGCAAACAATATTAGGCTTCATTTTCAAGAGGAGTTGTAACACATACTAGCAAATTATTGGAGATTATATATTTTGATGTTTATAGATCAATGAGGATATCATCAATTGAAGGAGCAAGGTATTTTGTCATATTTATTAATGATTTTTTAAGAAAGATGTAGATTTATATCTTTAAAATTAAGAATGAGTGTTTTTTAAGATTTAAGGAATTTAAGGCATTTGTAGCAAAGTAATGTGAGTACAAGTTCAAAGTGTTGTGCACAAACAATGGAAGTGAGTATATGTCAAATTATTTTGATGAATTTTTGAAGAATTAAGGCATTGCAAGATAAACATCTACTTCTTACATTCTACAATAAAATGGAGTTGCTAAAAGACCAAATTGCACCATTGTGGAGATGGCAAAGAATATGCTTCATGTTCAAAACCTTGAGCAAGAAAATTGGGTAGAAATTGTGGTTATTACAATGTAAACCAGAAATAGTTGTCTTATAAGTGCATTTAAATCAATGATTTTGTAAAAAACTTGGAGTGGCAAAAAACCTTGTATCTTATACATGAGGATTTTTGGATGTATTACTTATATAAAGATATTAGATTGTATGAGGTCCAAATTTAATGAAAAAGATACAAAATATGTATTTTTTTGGATATTGTGAAGGTATCAAGGTACATAGGCTAATATGTTTTCAAACTAAGAAGATCATCAAGAATCGTGATGTAGAATTTTTGGAGCATAAAAAAGCTTGTGAATACTTAGAGATATGTTTAAGTGGAAGTAATGGTGATTTTGTGGATACATCTTAAATTTCATTGAAGAAAGAAAAAAAAAGATGGTGACAAAGAAGATAATAGAAATAAAAATCAAAATGGAGAGCTAATAAAGGTAGATCAAAGTGTATCTAAAATTACTAGAACCAGCAATAAAAATAATCAAGATGTTGAAAATGATGATGAGGAATATCAATCATTAAAAGTATAGAAACAAGTTTTAAGAAAGAATAAGATTGCAAAGAATCTTGAAATACATGAAGGTGAATCTTCATCAAGTGAAAGGAGATATCCTTTGAGAGATAGAAAACAACTTGGTGAATGGTGGAAGAACCACATCTTTCCTCAAACAAGTAAAAAATATGCCAATGTTGCATTTCTTGTTAATCCATTGAATTAATATCATACAATGAAGCCCATAAATGCTATGAAATGGGAGAATGCCATGGAAGAAGAATACAAATTATTCATAGATAATGAAATATGGAAAATGACTCAACTTCCATAAAATCAATCTTCAATTGAATGTAAGTGGATATTTAGAACTAAAAAAGATATAATAGATAATATTATGAGATGTAAGATTAGATTAATTTCTAAAGACTATCCACAAGTTGTTGATATTGATTTCAATGAGACATTTGTTCCTATGGCCAAATTCAACACCATTAGAATTATTGTGGTAATTGGACCAGTAATGGACTTAAAAATGCATCAAATGTTTGTAAAGATGGCTTTCTTAAATGGAAGGTTGAAAAAAGACATCTACATGGATTAATCTCAAAGATTTGTTGAAGAAGGCAAACAACACTTTATTTATAAATTGAAGAAATCTTTGTATGGATTCAAGCAATCACTAAGGACATGGTACCAATGTATTGACACATTCTTTGTGAAGAAAGGATTTAAAAGAAGTAAAGTTGATCATTCCATGTATGTGATGCAATTAATTTAGTTCATATTGATTGTCATCTTTTATGTTGATGATTTGATCAACTTAACTAATACCTTAAAGATGATAAATTGATTGAAGGCAAAGTTAAAAAAGGAATATGAGATGAGTGATTTGGAAGAGCTTTAGTATTATTTAGGAGTGGAGCTTGTGAAAGATTGTACTAAGAAGACCATTACAATGAGCCAAAGCAAATACATTAAAGAGGTATTGAAACGATTCAACATGGAAGAATGTAAGCTTATATGTACATCTTTGAAATCTAATTCAAAGTTAATGAAACTCACGGGTGGTGAGTTTGATGAAGTTAAAGATCAAATACAAGGTGTTCCATACAAAGTAGCAATATGTTCACTTATATATGCAATAGTTGACACAAGAGTAGATCTTGCATATGCAATGAGTGTTGTGAGTCAATACATATCAAAGGCTACACAAATCTATTGGAAAACCATTGAAAGGATCATGAGGTATTTAAAAGACATTTTGTATTTCAAATTGTGCCTTGGAGCTGATAACATTACTTTACATGGTTATTATGATACAAATTGTACTAAAGATGCAAATGGTAGAAGATTAATAATGGAGTATTTTTTTTTTTGTTGGAGTAGAAGCAATTTCATGGAATTGAAAGAGACAACCAACAATTACAAGGTCAAGAATTGAGGCAAAGTACATAGCAGCAAGCCATGGTACAATGGAGGCAATATATCTTAAATAACTTTTGGAGGATATTAAAATAGTATAAATAAATGCAACTTGAATGAAGTGTAACAATCAAGAATGTCTTGTATTTGCAAAGAACCTATAACATCATTCAAAGACCAAATACATTAACATTTAATATTATTTCATAAAAACAAAAAATTAAAATGGAAGTGATTGATATGAAGTATTGTGCAACAAAAGACATGCTTCTTGATTTATTGACAAATACATTAATAAAGGATAGACATCACATGTTGACAAAGACATTAAGATTGAAAGCCTTTAACCAAGCAAAATAAGAGTGTTGAAGTAAAAAATTAAAAGTGAGTAAAATAAATTACTTTGTAGAAGATATTAACTTTGATAAGTTACTTTTGGTGAAAGCATTGGCTTATGGTATGTAAGAAGGCTAAGAAATAAGGTAGATGAAAGGACAAAAGATCTTAAGGATATAAAAGATATGCTAAAGACATATTTTCATAGTAGATAAGATATCAATAGATAGTCTTGATAGAATGTTGGATGGATGTATTCATCAAAAGATGAAAGTTGTCCATTAGGATAACAACCACCACCTATAAATAATGGATGTTGGAAAGGAGAGATATTTTATTTCATACTCTCTTTGTATTAAATCATATTGATACTCTGTATTGTTACTTCAAAGTTTGTTTTCTTCAATAAATCCTAAATAAATTCCTTTCATGTGAATAAATATTTTATTTTCTTATATTAATGCTAAACATAAATTGTTTGATTTTTTATTATTATTTCGTAATTTTTATTGAATCAAAACAGAAAAAATTGTAATTTTTTTCAATAATCAAAATTTTAGCAAAGGATTAATTATCTTTAACTCCAATATAGTCAATTGCTGAGCTATTAAAATAATGATTTTTAAATCTACAATTCACAAAATATATAGCGACCAAGAAACATGCATGAAAAGAAAAAAGTCATGAATATATGGTAATCATGAAATTTATATAATTACAATTTGCACACGGTTCTGAGACAAGTGAATATTATTGTGGTGCTGTTTTTTTAAATAAACATCTATTTTGTACTATAGTCATGTGAAAAATAATCATTAGATAAAAATGAATGAATTACTTAACGTACCATACAAAATAGTCTAATATAATCAGACAAGGTCAGATTTAATGGAGCAAAGTTGTTACAGATCGTTTCTATAACTTTACTTTTCACAATCTTTTCTTCCAGTAAATTATGAACCAATTTTACATGTTTCTAAAACAAGATTTATCAATTCATTATTTTTGTCATCTAGCTTGGCACTAGTTCCTTTCACTTAACTTCCGTGAGACTAACCGACGTTGCTGGGAATTTCTATCGAACAGAGTTTGCCATGTCGAACTCATCCGAGAAAGTCAGAGACCCTGTTCGAATTCTACTCGCAGTTTGCATGTTTCCTAATGAAGCAATCGGCCTCTGTAGTATAAGAAATCTCGTTTAAGAATAGCTCAACCACAGTACTCTGCTAATGCTATGTGCCACAATTACATGGTACTCCTCTGTAGGTATAATTTAAAACAACAACATTGAATGAATGAATAAAGCAAAGAAATTTTGACAAAAGAACGTCTCACGGGAACCAATCAAAGTCGCTCCTCTAAGCCACTGTAGAATAAGTAAATAGCCAGAGAGAAGTGGAAGTTGAAAAGTATAAAACCGCCAAATAGTGGCAATATATTAGGCCAATAAATTTCTACAAGAGAAATATACAGTACTGATCATTCCTAAAGAACCGGCCACAATGATATGCCACACCTACCAGCAGAGCTCTAGCACAGCACAACTCTCTGCGACTACAAATAAGTCCAACACCAACAGGCGATCTCAGTCCTTCCAGTTCTGTGTAAAGGATTGCTCTTCGTATCATTATTTTCACCACCTGCATACAATCTGTAGCGCAGACTCACCTGCCTGTGTGCTCTTCCTCACGACAGGCCAATGGGCTACAGAAAACTCAAACAGAAAGTCTGATTATCATCGCTACAGTTGAAGTGTAGGCTCCGCTCTTGCGCGTGCGGCTCCAAGCTGGGAGATTTCCACTAATCTTCTACATTCGAATAAATTAAAGCGCACCTCCTCCACGCCAATAGAGAAAACTGCTAGAAGAGCATAAAAGTACTACAACTCACTCGCTCAGATCAGAGACAGGTCCTCTTCGTCAAGCCATAGCTCAATCGTACAAGATCCTCCGCGAACAATTAGTCGTAGTATTCCGCACTTCACAAGAATATCCAACCACTGCATGTCCTGCAAACAAAACCTCATGGACTAGTTTGTGCACAGTGAAGCTACCTCTCTCTTCCTCTCCAGCTCTTCCACAAATCTGAATTGATTGTTGCCACTACCATTCCTAGACTATCCGGACAGACAGGGCTTACATCATGGTTTGTGAAGGTGAAGAAAGCTCTAAAGTTCCTTTTTACACTTGAAAGACGTGGATACCGGACTCAATCGTCCCTAGCCAATTCTCTATCTCAATCTCACGTCACTCGTGAGCACCATCAGATGTAACTTGGTATTCTACAACTACCTGAAAGTCCAAACACGGCGATGCGGTAGACAAACCGAATGGGTCAAAATAAAATAATATCCAGCCATAAAGGGCACACAGAGCCATATATCTGCAGGTGTTCCATGCCTTTGCTCCCGCCCCTAGATTGCCAAATGTGTAATCTCATGTTCTCTTTCGTGCACAGCCATGCTCCGATGCCCACCATGTTGCTGTCGGTGTCGTGTGTTCCACCTGGGAGTGGTGAAACATGAGCTACCATTGCTGCTAGAACGGGAGTATCCCACCATGGGACTGGCCGAAGAGAGCCTGTGAGGAGTGTCCTCCATCAAGTCGGAATCCGTGGCAGTCTCATGTTCCCTGTTTACAGCTTTGACCGGAACAGAGATGGGACTCTTCGACCTAGCTCTCATATGTGGGGATGCCTTCCACCATGGACTCTTCTTCGAAACTAAAACTGGGGTCAAAGGTTGCGGCTGGTTGCGATCTCTGGATTTTGTGGTGTAGACGGAGGATGTGGATTTCCTTCGTTCCTGGTACGGTACGGATTCGGCGGGAGCTCCCAAACTGAAATTCTGCTGATTCAATGATTTATCATCCTTGGAAGCATAGCCTTTGAAAGAAGCAAACCACTTCCAAGGAGACTTCTTTCCCTGCCCTGCACTTTCGTCCCCATAGTTCCGCGTTCCGGTGTGGGAAGCTTTCCCAGAGTGATTTTCTTCCCTGCCAAAGCCCTCGTAGGCACCTACTTTACGCGCACCAGTAGAGGATTTACTTGCCTTCCACGCAGCATTGAAGTTCTCGCCGTTGATGACAGGTTTCTGTGTGAAGGGACTTCCGCGACTACTTGTTGAGAATCTCCGAGAGTCCATAGACTCGATGTCAAACAAGGACGCCCCAGAATATCTGGCAGGCGTGATCTGATCATTCATTGACGCAACCGAGTACCTCGCGGGGGTGGTTTGTTCCCATTGAGACGAGACAGAGTACCTTGCAGGGGTGGTCTGTTCCAGATTTGATGAAACAGAGAACCGAGCAGGAGTGAACTGCAGGTCTTGCGTAGGAGCTCCAGAGTCAATACTGCCGTCATTGCCTTGCTCGTTCGGCTTTGACTTGGAGACGGTCGCCTCACCCTTTCTCTCTGATCTCCAGAGTACGCTCATAGTGCGAAACCCTACAATTTTCATCATCGCCGCTCCCCAGGTCTTCGACTTTCGTCTCCCACTGGAAGAATGTAACTTCCTTTTATGACGCCCGGATTCCCCTACATCCACGATGACAGGCATGTTGTGTGGAACAGCCTCATCTTGACCTCTCGAACCACTGTCCTCCGAAGTGCTCCCCTCCCCCTGCATGTCGGCGTGACCTATAATTTGCAGATTGAAATTGGAGGCATCATTATCGTCCAGGGCATATCTCTGCATGTGCTGCACATGCTGAGCATGTTGTTGACTACCAACCAATGCGCCCATGATGCTTCTATTAACACCAGGGTAAAACAGGTCGGAGTTGTCTCCACCTGCGCCCGCACGAGGGTTTCCGTCTTCATCATACTGAACCAATATAAACTGCGCTCTCCTACTACCTGCTGGTATAGACGTGGGCTTGCTTGGGGGAAAGATCTCCAGATCAATAGAGTCATCCTCTTCATCCTGGCACACTGCGAGTCTACTTAACGACTCGCGAAGACAATGAGCACACACTCCTACGTTGTCCTGGCTGGGATGCCATTTGCAACCTAGCATTGACATTTTGACTCAAACAGAAAATGAACCAAAATGGTGAGCAGAATCTCCACAACGAATTCGCTCCGCGGACTGTTTGCCCAAGCTGTTCGAAATATCACCTATCCAGCTGCGGAACAGCCCTGCGCACCTTCATGATGAGGACGGCATCGCTTCCTCAGACCTACATCCAAGTACACAACCTCACAAGATCAATTCCCAGAAGTGAAATGCACCATACGGCTACGGGTAAGAAGTTCGGCCAGCTACACCAACCGCATGGTGTCACCTATGGACACATCAGGTGAATATTGAGCAGAAAATACAGGTTAACAATTTCAAGGAAACACTGCAGACCCGTCAAATCGAACCCCCACACCACAGAACCAAAATTAAGATGGACTTGGTTATGAAATTACAAATCAGACAGACACACAAAACGTGTTCAGTGAGACAGGGCTACGCGTAGAGCTCTTCGGGTGCAATGTAGAATGAGAGACGCGACATTAGACCAAAACAGCAGAAGGAACACGATTTAGAGAACGTCACGGGCGACGAATTTGGTGAGGCGCAACTTACTAGAGCTCAGAAACGGCCAACAATAGCGCGCCACAGAGCATGCACCAGAGGGACAGTGGTAGCAAGAGGAGGAGGAGGGGCAGCGCAGGACATCAAGAGGAGCAGGAGCAGCAGAAGCAGGCTACATTACAAGAGGAGACATGGCGAAGGGGGCTTGCTTGCTTGCACACGGAGGATGAGGAGGAGGAAGTAGAGCAAGAGCGAGACAGGGAGGGAGGGAGAGGAAGAGCAGATAGATGACCAGGACAGGGCGGGGGATGAAGGTGCCAGAGAATGCCGACTGAGGAACAAGAGAGCGCGGGGAAGGAAGGAACAGCACCAGCAATAGGAGGAACAGGCTTAAGGGGTCGGGTCCAGGTTTAGGAAGGCTTTCTCACATACTACGGACAAAGAAGGAAGGAACGGGGAGGGGGGGGACGGCGATGGAGCGGCGTCACAATATGCAGAAGAAGAAAGAAAGAAACAAGCCAGCCAGCCAGCCCGGGCGCGGGGGGGAGGGGGCGTTGGGAAAAAGCAGTCATTCCGTGCAAGCCGGGGCGTGAAGAGTATGGATGGATGGATATGTTATCCGGAAAGTGGAGTAGTAGGATGGCCCTACTGGAATAATAACCCTAAACCCAGATTGGATTCGGGAGCGAGCGAGTGGGGTTTGGGGGGGGGGGGGGGGGGGGGGGGCTCTTGGACTGTGCCCCCCCCCCCTTACTTTCTTTCTTTGTGGATTTTGGTAGCGTAGGTCGGAGCAGCAGCGCAAGCCCGAGTTGCGCCTGGCTAATAATAAGCAAGAAGTTAAATGCACGGGCGGCCTGTTGAAGCGGGGGAATTGAATGCTGGATCTGGAGCGCAACCGTGTGGAGGGCCTGGAATTGGGGGCGGCCCTATCTATCCCCCCCCCCCCCTGTGGCTGGCTGGGATGCTTTGCATTTCTAGAGAGTGGTGGCGAGGCTGGTGTTTTGGCTCCCCTCGTAGCCTTCCCTCTCTCTCTCTGTTCCTCTCCACCAACGGAGCCATTTCCTCTGTCACTCATCAATCTCTCCAACTCAAAATCCATCCATCCATCTATCCATCCATCCATCCATCCATCCATCCATCTATCTATCTATCCATAAATCCATCCATCTATCTATCCATCCATCCATCTATCTATCCATAAATCCATCCACCTATCTATCCATCCATCCATCTCTCTCACTCTCTCTCCTCAATTCTAATGCATTCATTGCTTCCTCCTCCCTTATTATTCCATCCAATCACTTTCTTTATCCTGAGACTGACTGACCTACAACAAATCTTAATCTCATCCCATAATGATTATTACTATTACATTTCTATGCCTGTATTTCTCCACATCCACTCATTCCCTTGTATTGCACATTTATTTATTATTTATCATCCTCCTTTTCTTTCTTATTTCGACCTTTTCAATATAACATAAAGGTAAAACAAAATAAAATACAAACAGTATACCAATTATTTCACTCTTTTGTTAACTTATTTAGTTTTAATATTTAATTTTTTATGTATGTTTGTATGTACAAACGAATGGAATATCTAAAATTAAAACTAAAAAAGATACAGCTTTCCAACCACTAAATTGAATGCTACCAAACATGTAACAATACATTAAAAGTTTGCATGTCTTCTTTAAGCTTTGTATTCTAAAATTGGATATAGCAATGCTATGTTGTATTTTACATTTGAACATTCCTTTTCATTTTAAGAACATTTCATATTACATACTCTTTATAATTCATGTATGTATGTATGTATGTGTGTGTAAGTAATATAAAGTATTTTTTGAAAATCAAATAATATATAATTATAAATTAAAGAAATTTTAATAAAAATTTTAATTAATAAATTTTATATTCAAAATCTATATATCCACAAACCAAGAAAATTTCTATTAATCTATTTATACAAATATTATATATTTTATTTTTAACCATATTTTTTAATTTATATATATTTAATTGATTAATTAATATAAAGTATTAAAATGATATGTCTTGAAAATTGTAAACATAAATAAAAGATGCAATATAAGTAAAATCATCAACTAATAAGTTTTATTTAGATAAATCTTTTAATACTTTTAAAAGATTTATTTAGAAGTATTGTCAAAGATATGAATTTTAAAAAATTAAAAAATCAATAAATTCTTAAGTCATTCAAAAAAACTAAAAAATCACTCAAAGATAGTATAATATTAAACTATAATAGCTATTGTAAAAGACAAAAAGACTAAAAAGTCTTGAAACGAGACTAAAGACTAGGAAGGCATTAACAAGAATGAAAAAGACTTCAGTCTTGCTTCTATGTATATTATCTAATTGGAAGTTATGTGGCGACATACTATAAGACCTCCAACATGTGTCCAATTTGTAAGACACATGTCTTAAATTACAAGACAAGTTTCTTATATGTGTGCCATATCATTAAATTATACTATAAGCTATCCACACATACAATATATGATTAAATTGATGGCCAAGTTTCTAACCTATCAATCAACTATAAATATGTATAAAGTCAAATACATATTTATGTAGCTTCTAAGAAGCTTAATCATAAGATAATATCAAATCTACTTACTTTTATTTTCTACCTAGTACTTCTTATCTAAGTAAATATGTTTTTTCATGATATAACCATTCTTTTTAGATAAGAGTTCTACGAAGAGCAATCATCCTATATTCAAGAAGTATAAGATGCAACAAATTGTGTTTGCCACATACAGTGATCTTTGTTCCTTTTGAAGGTGGTTAATAGATCTTTTTAGCTATTGATAGTGTTTTATACCAAGACAAGAAGATCACCTTGTTGTTTAATTATTGTTGAGGCCTTTATAACTTTCTTCAAATAAAATATTTGGAATATCATCAAGAGTAGTTTTTACATCTAATAAAATCACCAAAGAATGGGAGTCTCTTCAAGGTCATGATATCTAACACTGTTATGTAGGAATATGACTATATAGTAAAAAATAAAAATATGGATATTATTACAAAAGAACCTAGTAGAAAGATGTAATAAAATAATAATAATAATAATTAATAGAAATATAGTAAAAAATTTAGTCTTAATACTACTTTTTACAAAAGAAACTTCTATTTGTTTTGTAGAGGCATAAATGAGCCAAATAAAAATAAATGAGATAAAAAATTGATACAAACATATTTAAGAAAGACTTACCAACATATTGAAGTAAAACTTACCTCAAATTATCAAAAATTGATACTTGGAGACGATTGGTTGTCAACTTCGATCAAAATCAAACCTTGAGGTACAAACCATACACCTATGGCAATTCTAGAATTTTTTTGTTAACAAAAGAGTGAGGTTTGAAAGCAAACTTGAAGAAAGATTTTTATATATTGATTTCATGTCATTTGGATTAATATTGAAATTTTAACAGATTTCCAAAATTAATGATGTATTCAATGGATTTAGATTTAAAAAAATAAAAAAAAGTTTATAAATTTTAAGATTTTGTGAATTTTGTAGTATGTGTATGAATGAAAATAAGGAGTTTTGTTGTTGTGTTTGTTGTAAATATATATAAAAAATTTGAAATCAATCAAACAGTTAGATTGAAGAATATGAGGATTTTGTAGATTATGGTCTTAAAAATCTGAAATTTATAGTCAATAATGATTTCAAGATCTACCAATATCTGCTAGTTGAATTGAAGAAAAATTTGGTAAGAGAAATTTAGACTAAAATATCTAAACAAAATCCAATTTTTGGAGGAATTGAATGATTTAGTAATAGAAAATTGGTGTTGAAAGATCAATATTTAAGTTGGAGATAGAAGGTAGTCAACAACCAAGAGGTTTTGGAAGCTTTGCTTGCTATTAATATGTGAAATCTTCTTTAAATTATTTGTATTTATTGCTTATTTAGTTGTTGCAAGGTGTGCAAATTTTGAGTCAAAATCAATAATTTAATCATTAATTATTAAATTTTTAATTTTTTGTAAGATTATTAAGATTTATTTAAGATTTAGAGGTTGATTAAAGATTGATTAGGATTGATTTAGAATCTAGGATTTGATTAAAATTTAAGATTTATTTTAGATTTAATTAAGATTTGAGATTTTATTTGAATTTGATTAGGATTTTATTAGAATTTGTTTAAAGTTTGATTAAGATTTTACTAAGCTTCATTAGAGTAGATTTTATTAGAATTTGATTTAGGATTTGATTATAATTTATTATAACTTCAATTAGGATTTTAATTAGGATTTGATCAAAGATTTGATTAGAATTAAGATTTATTTGGAATTTGGTTTAAAACTTAATTAGGAATTGATTAGAGTTTATCTATAATTTATCTAGGATTTAAGATTTTATTAGAATTTCATTAAGATCCAATCTAAGATTTGATTAAGATTTAATTATAACTTCAATTAACGTTTGACCTAAAGATTGGTTAAGATTTAATTAAAATTCATATTTTTAATATTTTTAATAAGTTATTTATTGTTTCTTTAAAATTTTTTATTTCTAATATTCTTTTAAGATTATTACTATTTCTTTAAAGGTTTATTTTTAAATTTCTTTAAGTTTTCTTGTTATTTTTCTTTGAGATCAGTTTAATACTTTTTTGTATTTATTTTATAACTTCTTTTAAATTTATTTTAAATTGGTCAAAGTTTTATTAGGATTATTAAAGTTTATCTAAAGTTTATTTAAGATTCTATTAGACTTAATAGGATTGTTATTGTATTTCTATTTACCTTTGAAAGTTAGGTGCCTGGTGTATTTTTAAGCAAGAATATACATAATACAAAATTGATATTGCCTTAAGTATAAGACTTCTTATACTTTGAACTCTTGATTATTATCCATTTCTATAGGAAGAAATAGCATTTGTCATCTTTTTAAAATATTCCTTATTTTATAAGCTTTAAGAAGAGATACATAAAATACATGATGGATCTTTATAGACTCCAATAGATGTAATTGATGAGCAAGTAGATTGATTTGTTTATAAATAAGAAATGGTCCATGCCTATAGTAATCCAACTTGTCATAAAGATAACTAGTCTTGACATTGCAATAAAATAATCATACTTTATTGCAAATATAGAATTGAAATTGTTCTTTATGACTTACATTTTCATTGATTTTTTATCATTCTTGAGCTTCTTTTAATTGTCCCTTCATTATTTTAAGTAATTCATATAAATAATTTATCAAATCTTCTATTATAGGATTGTAAACTTTTTCAAAGTCAAAAATATGAAGTAATGGATAATAATCATAATTAGCAAAGAAAAGTATTTATTATAAAGAAGAATGTACCATGATATTATAAAAAAACTTTGCAAATAGTTAAGAGTAATCCAATCATCTTGTTAGTAATTAATAATACACTTCAAATATTGCTTCAAAACTTGGTTCATTCACTTTGTTTTTCTATTGATTTTATAA